CAGAACGCAAGCCCGGTTAACTGGGAAAACAAAGCAAATCTGTCTGAGAAGGTTTAGTGGTACAATAAATTATCGTGCTGAATCTGAAGACGAAATATCTCTTCTTCGGGAATGAGAAAGACAAAGAATGCTTGAAGATAAAACAACGAAACAATTGCCAAAGTTCCAACTCCAAATAATACACATACTGATAGCCCCAACACGCAGCCAACCACGAAACAGTTTTACATTTTAAGGCGCCAATCGTATACTAATTACCAATCTAAAAAGGAAAACAAAATACATTAAGCCAAAAAAAATTCAGCAGCAGAGACAAAGTGTGAACAAGATGCGTATACAGGTATAAATACATATACTGTGACGGAGGTTATGTAGAAACATGTTCTAAACGAGAGGAATGAAAAAAAATAGGAATTTGTATGAGGCAGACAGGAGACTCCCCCCCCCCCCTATAATTGCAGTTATACGTGATAACAAACTGGACGACAGGAGCGTTTATTAACCCAACCTTGAGTGTTGTTGTTGTTAGAGGTCTTTGAAAAAATATCTTTACATTAACCACACATGGTGTTAGCAATTAATGAATACTCCTTCTCAAGGGGATCTGGGATAATGGGGGAGTTAATGGTTATTGTACTAATTGCGTTTCACCATTATGTCTAAAGTGAAGGTGTGGATACAAGTATAAAAATGTGAAGTTGTCCCTTGTTGTATTTTTGAATTAAAGCAGAAATGGAGTTGGTAAAGAAAACGTACACATTCATTACCAAAACTTAGTTAAAAAATAACTGCTCTGTTAAAATTATAATTTTACATAACAAAATTAAAAGCAATTTTATTTTTTCACGTGTTATTCTATATTTATTTGTATCTTGTTTTCTCCTGATTCATTCTGTGTTCAAGGTTCAAACGAAATTTTTTCTTTAAGAGTAGCTAAATTCCCATGTTTCGAAGTTCGTGTCTGTCTAAGTTATCAAACTTCGAAGTTCATATATATCTAATTTCTAATGTTTCGAAGTTCGTGTCTGAGTTATCACAATTTCAAGTTCGTATAAGTCCAAGTTATCACACGTCGAAGTTTATATATGTCTAATTTCTAATGTTTCGAAGTCCGTGTCTTAAGTTATCACAATTTCAAGTTCGCATAAGTCCAAGTTATCAAAAGACATATATGAACTTCGACATGTGATAACTTAAGACACGAACTTCGAAACATTAGAAATTAGACATATATGAACTTCGAAGTAATTGTAATAACTTAGACAGTCACGAACTTCGAAACATAGGAATTTAGACATACATGAACTTCGAAGTTTCATAACTTGGACTTATACGAACTTGACGAACATCGAAACAATAATTTAGACATACATGAACTTCGACGTGTGATAACTTGGACTTATACGAACTTGAAATTGTGATAACTTAGACACGAACTTCGAAACATTAGAATTTAGACATATATGAACTTCGACGTGTGAAAACATATTGAAGAATAGCTAGATTTTTTAAAACACCATCCGTAAAAGTTTGTTACAAGAGCATGTATGACGAGTCTCAGATTTCATACCTACATACAAGATCTTCGAAGTGTGGTAGGTTCAATATGTACGAACATCGAAACAATAATTTAGACATACATGAACTTCGACGTGTGATAACTTGGACTTATACGAACTTGAAATTGTGATAACTTAGACCGTTAAATATCTAGCTCAAGGCGTTTCATATTAAAACAGTTATAATCAGATATACATGAAACAGGAGCACGGTTAAAAAGAAAGGGGCCTGTCGACGTGGGTTTTCAGAAAGGTATATAAAAGATAGGAGTTCAACGAAAAAAATCGAAAAAGACTGGGAAATGTGACAGAGAATGAATAAACCGAGAGAGGCGAAGGAAGAAATACTCTGGCAATAAGGAACAAAACTTACCTCTAAATCTATATGTTATTGACTGTAGTAATAAACAACAACTTGATATATTTACATATGTATGAATCAATCCCTGATAAGAACAAGTACAATCTAAATAAAGCCGATGATCGTAAGAAGAAAAAATGAAGTGCAATTGTAGCAGGATTGTAACGAACAAGGGTCAGAGTGATCATAACTCCTACTATTTAGTAAGTAACCTGCACATGACACGCACAGAAATAAACTGTTCGAAATTTATTGAAACAATTATCCTAAACTACACATAAAACGAACTGAACTTAATTATCAGAAACTCAGTGATATAATTTAACACATATACGTGAAACAAAAGGGGTTGAATTGTTAAAAGTACAATTAAACTACACATGAAACTAACTAAACTTAATTATCAGAAACTCAGTGATATAATTTAACACATATACGTGAAACAAACTGGACTGGATTGTTAAAAGTACAATTAAACTACACGTAAAACGAACTGAACTTAATTATCAGAAACTCAGTGATATAATTTAACACATATACGTGAAACAAACTGGACTGGATTGTTAAAAGTACAATTAAACTACACGTGAAACGAACTAAACTTAATCATCAGAAACTCAGTGATATAATTCAACACATACGTGAAACAAACTGGACTGGATTGTTAAAAGTAAATTAAACTACACATAAAACGAACTGAACTTAATTATCAGAAACTCAGTGACCCCAGTTTGTTTCACGTATATGTGTTAAATTATTTGAATTGTTAAAAGTTCAATGAAACAATAATCCAAAATATAGTTTATAACAACGACACATGCCATGAAGTAATATCAAACCAGGAATGTCTGTTTTTTAGCAAAAAGCTAAGCAATGAACTATCTGTGGCCTGTCAACTGTAAAGAATCGAACCCCGAATTTTAGCGTTGTAAGCCCGTAACTTAACACTAATTCACCGGAAGACTACTTAGGAATAAGCCAAAATGCTTTAATTAGTAAGAAGGTTCACGAAGTACTAGAATTAACAGGAAAATGATTTTTTGAGATCTACGCATGCGCATGCTAAACAAATAATTTACACGTGTACGTAAATAAGCGGAAATTGAATATTTAATTGCTTCTTAATTTCATAACATAAAACAATGTATAAATCTGCTTTTCTCTTAACACAATGTTAATCAGTGTCTCTGATAATGAGCATTAGCCTTTGAAATAACTTCTGAAAATATTAATTAAGTAAAATATTAATCCTTTATTATCAGTCAATTTCTATGTTACCCGGGCATATTCTCTCCACACAACCTTACGACAAAAACAAAATATTGGACAAAACGTACTGTGAAATTGTGTGCATACAAAGATACCGAACAATTACCTTTCACAGTACAATGCTTTTTTGCAAATTAATTTTTAAAGGGTTAAGCATACTTTATAAGAACGTTTAATTAATATATTATGATAACGTCGTGCGTCGTCAAGGGGGACATGTTTAACATAAATGCATTTTCACACAGTTAATATTCACACAGTGAAATTTCTAAATGATAGAGAGTCAAATAGCACAACATTTCGAAGAAAGGGTCTTACAATGCACTCTATCGAAGCTGAAAAACTAGCATAGCAGAGCATTTGTGGTTCTGAAACCACATTCCAAGCCAATAAGGACCAATGCTTTCATCTGCAAAATGAAGGTTCTGGTTACGAAAGAGAACCCTCCAACCCATAAACTTAATAAACTTTTGAAGATTTATGTGGTAATCAATCCTACTTTAAGGAAAACAATAATAACCTATCTGTCTATCTGTGTTCTCTATCTATCTAATTGCTATTACTGTATCATCTACCTGTAACTACGTCTTCACGCAGATACAAAGTTTTAATAAATAAATAACCCCTGTTTTTAACTTGCAAACAATAATATAAACATGTTTTACGTAATTTATCTTTGTCACCTCTGTCGATTCTAACAAACTTCTGGACTAGAAAGTCGAAATTGAAAGGAAATTAAAAACAAAAAGTGTATAAAAATTCCGAACTCCCATCACTATCACCATCTCCTCTCAATATTACTTAACCATTTTAACCACTTATTAAACATGAAATTCAAGGCTTTGATGTACATAAAAAAGGATAACGCGAAGAACACAAGTAGACTATTCGAAGACAACGGATTGGACAAAAGAAAGTAAACCAGAAAACAAAAATGAAGACGAAGAAAATAACAGCCATAGTAATCAGATATACATAATTTCTCCCCTAGTTATGGTAGAAGGGCTAATTTTTCTTCTATATTTCAGTCAAATTCGTATAAATACCACATAAATCACATCAGTACAAATTCGACTTCAGCTGCAACCATCAACATCCTATATAACATTTATCTTTGATGTAACAATCGCAGCCAAGAAGTGGTTTCATAGTATAAACTTGGGCGCCATTCTCCCCTGCCCCAATCCCCACCCTCTAAGACCAGTAGCGATAAACCTTCATGTCCGGCTGCAAAAATGTTGGATACAATACACCGCATGGAACACTAACCGTATTAAAATACCCAGGCAACAGATGGTTATAACCTTGTCTTCTTTGTTACAGCACCGCCGCAAAGGCCCATGAATGTGTCCCTCTTACTGTAAGTTTTAAAGTTGTCTTTTTAACCGTGAAAAGATACTGAAAACCACAACCCCTGCAGACATTCTGTGCTCTTGGAATTAGGACACGCCTCACTGAACAATAAAACTCAATGATGTGTGCTGAGATCGAATCGTTGAATATTTGATATATATATATATAATTAACATAGACACCATATGGCTGAATAGGCCTAAGCAAGAATAGATTTGAAATACTGGAAATTTCAGATATAATTTTTCTAAGTTTGACATAAACTAATTTTTCACGTCATTTTTTTCAGAATATTCAAAAAAAAGTCTTATTAAAACATCAACTTAAGTCATTTATCCTAACTATGATAACCAGATCTAAAATTCACAAACTAAGCTAGATGGTAGAAACGAGGTTTAGTTCAGTTTCAATGATCTGCATAAAAACACGAAATTAGAAACTCTTAGTCCGAAACTCACCATCGTATTCTATCGTGCTGAAGTGCGGCGTCATCCCTAGTGTCGTCGGTAAAAAGAACGCTAACGTCCAGAACCATGTCATCGTCCCGTGGTTTCCCACACATCTGTTGCGCTTACACAGCGGTTTTTTAGGGTTTGAAACGATCATTGTTCTTGTACAAAGAAAACGAACACTCCGTCAATAGTTACTTTCTGGTACAATTACTAAGAATGAAACTTTCAAAGTTGACAAAATTTATTCCAGCAGTACTCCAATACATGCAGACTTAAGCTGGGCAACAATTCTAAAAAGACGTTTCTTTTATTTTGTTCCAAGGATCTCTTTGTGCGCAGAGCTTTAGTTTGGAAGAAATGCCATTGAAGAAGTGGAAAAGACGGCGGACGGCGAGAGCTCTGGCAGCCCACGGGTATCACCATGCATCTTGGCCATGCATCAGGTAACGAGGTCTCCGACAAGGTGGTTAGGATCACCTCGTAGTCTGCTGTCACCTGAAAATGAAAGAAGCCTTTGTTCAAAACAGTGACAAACTAACCGCCCTAAACCCCAGAAGCCAGTCAGCCAATCACACAACTAACATGAAAAAAAAAAAATCTTTCAGTGGGAGTTTCCAACACCCTCA